ACGCATACGCGCATGCATACATACGCGCCATTTTTACATATAGTTTTCTACATGTCTGCTTATTTTTCCAGCACGTATTGGAGAAAATACAAAGTGGAAAAGAATTTCTAATTATCGGTTATTCATTTGGATCTTTAATTGCCATTGAATTAGCGAGATTATTAGAAGCTGAGAATTTCTCCGGACGTTTAATACTTATAGATGGTGCTCCTGATCAAATGAAATTCTTGCTTAAGAAATTGTTTTATCATACTACAGAACAAGAGCTACAAAATAGCATTTTACTTAATTTAATAAACATGTATCTTGACCCTAACAATGAAATGGTTAGACAATTATTAAAAATAGATATGTAGTTAATTATATATATATATATATATATATATATATATATATATATAGTTAATAAAATAATATATAATTAATAGAATGAGAGGAAGAATTATGAAAGAAATAATTTGTTAGAATGTATGCTTTAGAATCATAAAATAAGCTAAATTTTTTATTACATTATTTTATTATATTATTTTATATAATTTAAATTACAAAGGTTTTGTAAAGTTTCTTTAACGTAATTTAGATTATATGAAATAACATAATATAATATAAGTATATTATTTTATCTCAGTTTAAAATGCAGATTGTCATTTTGTTGTACTGATGCAATATTATTATTTACAGCTTGCATTAGAACTAAATAAGTGCAATACGTGGGAAGAGAAATTAGAATTAGTTTCTGCTCGCTTTTCCAAGGATATCAATGAATTAACGGTTGAAAATCAGAAACTTTTATGTGCAACGATTTACGATCATATAATCGCTATACAAGGTTATAATATAACATCATTGCCACGTCTTAAATCATCTGTAACCTTATTAAAACCTACACGTGCGCCTATCACTTTTACTGAGGAAGATTATGGTCTACGTAAGGTAAATTTAGATTAGAGCGTAATATTTTTTGTTATTTTTAAGATTATTTTTATAAATAAAAAATATTTTTAGATTACCGAAAAACGAGTACAAATACATTACGTGGAAGGTACTCATATCACAATAATGAACAATGACGAAGTAGTATCACTTATTAACAAAGCATTGTAAATTATAAAAATATGAAGAAGAGAGAACTGTACGCGTTTTCTCTACAATGATTCTAACAATAAAAGGAAATAAAGATAAACCTAAACCAATAACAAACAATAATATTGCTATTTAAATGTCTCCATTCCATATGTTAAGATTCAGCTAATTTTATTATTTAATTTACACTTTTTATTATTTAACCTGTCATTACTCAAAATACGATTAAATTATACATGTCACTAATGTCATATGCTATTAAAATCACAGAGTGTCACTAATGCAATCTTCTGTCGAGAGAGAAACTGTATGTTTTCTCTTTTCGTATTGTGTAGATGTGCAGTGATGACGGTGATGCTAAAGATCTTTTTTAAATAAAAATTTCTATATTTCAAGTTTGCATCATTCATTAGATCACGCAGAACAAAAATAAATTTTCTTTATGCAATTCAAACTAAGTCTATCGACTAAGTCCGATGAGAGTCATCAGAATATCAAATCTTAATAACGATTGAACAGGCTGAATTCTTAAGCTTAATTGATAGAGAGAGTTTAAATTGTATAAAAAAAAGTATCTTTATTTTTGTTCTGCGTGATTCATAAACGGAGAGATATCATGATGCAAAGTCGAAATATAGAAATTTTCATTTAAGAAAGAGTTTTATCATCACTGTCATCAACGCACATCTACACAATACAAAATAAAAAACGTACAGTTTTTCTCTCGATAGTTCTCTCGAAAATTGCGTTAGCGATACTCTGAGATTTTAATGACATATGACATTAGTGACATGTATAATTTAACCGCATTTTGAGTAGTGAAAAATTAAATAATAAATTGCAAGTTAAATAATAAAATTAGCTGAATCTTACCATACGGAATTGAGACATTCAAATAGCAATATCATTGTTTTTTCATTGGTTCAGGTTTATCTTCCCATAACAATAAAATATACTATGACAAAATAAAAATTAAATAAACAAATTATAAAGTTCGTTACATAGAACATATATCTTTCGCAGCTTCCATTCCAACCATGAAAAAAGAGAGAGATTAATTCTTTTTTCTTTGTTGGAATGGAAAGATATATGCTGCGAAAGATATATGTTCTATATAACGAACTTTATAATCTGTTTATTTAATTTTTATTTTGTCATAGTATATTTTATTGTTATGGTATATTGTCATGATTTATTATGGTATATTATGTAATTTTTATTATTATTTTTCTAATTTATGTTTATTATATATAATATGTATTTTTTATGTGAATATATATATTTGGGCATTTTTCATCATTCTTTAGATCCTATGTATATGAAATAACTTGGTATTTAATTTCTGCAAGATGCTTTAAAATTTTTTGCTAATATTTTTTTCAATAATCGCATAAACATTTTGTATGTATAATGGCTTTATATTAATTTATTTTATATATAATATAATTAAATATTATGTAACGATGCACCCCCGTTGTATCGTTATATTTCCGACCGAACAGCAGCCGGAAGCTGCCGCCCGGAAAACAACCGCCTGGCAGGGGCAGGGGAGCGCTGCCGATCAACGGATTGTTCAAACCGTTTAATAGCCGAAGCCGTCGGCAAGCCGTGCCTACAACAGTTGAGGGTGTCCGAAGCACCTTGAGTGAAACACCCCGCGACGATTCCGCCGCGCCCCACCGAGTGGATTCGTACCATATCGTTATTCCGCCGCTCGGCATCCCGTTTTTACACCGGCATAGGACTAATTATCCGAAGTATAAAAAGAGTCCTCAGCATTATCACGGCCCCAGATTCCGATTCCGCTAGCAACAGCAAGCAACAATCCGAATCTACCGATCCTAATAGAAGCCTCGAGCCACGAACGGAAAGTGGAGAGCATTCCGCCTCAGCTGAACATTCTCAGTTTCGGGTCTACGGCTAGATCGATCTAACTCTGTTTCCGCCGAAGGAAAGTATTGGAGAAAACTCCGACCGTTGAGATCGCAAAAGATCCCGCTGTCTTAACGCCGTTGCAATTTATTACCGGAAGTAGAGAGAAGAGTTATCTCCGACGAGCTGCTCTCTCGTCAGCATGATATATTATGTAAAAGATTCGCTTATACAAAATAAATTTTTATTGTTAAAAAATATAAATTTTAATAATTCTTACATTGCAGTTTCAAGATTAGATAAGATCTGATTAAAATCATGTGTAAATATTTAATTCTTTCTCTAATTTTTAAAACAGGATTGAAATATCCAAACATGGCGGCGCCAAACATGTTACTGGCTGAACTAGGCATGGATTCAATGATGGCAGTTGAGATTAAACAGACATTGGAAGGGGAATTTGATATTTTATTGACGGCACAAGATATTCGAAATCTCACTTTTGCAAAACTTAAAAAATTGACAAATTCAACTCAACAAGAAAAGATGTACCGGGAAGCTAATGTAAATGATTTGGACGGTTTAAAAATATTGACTCGAAAATTTAACGATTCAGACTTGAGTTCAGACATTTATGTAAAACTCGCTAGAGAGAGGAAAGTTGCTGGGAATGAAATATTCCTTACATCAGGAATCGATGGGTGTGCAAGTGTATATAAACTAATAGGATCGAAAATTAAATCTTCGGCGATATGTTTGCAACACGGTATACTTAATATACCGGGTGTTACTCGTTCAGTAATGAAATCAGCAGCATATCTTCTGCCTGTACGAAATTATACTATAATCTGTTTGAAATCATTATTTAAATAACATAGACGTCAACATTCAAAACCTTTCCCATCTAAGGCACGTTCACCTGTTGATTGTATCATTTTTAGTTCCACTCCACATCGAACTTACTCTTTTTCGTCAGCTGTTTCTACATTTCTCTTCTCTATATCTTCCGGAGCGGAGAATTTTTTCGATGAAATCGACATAATAGAAAAGCGACTTGTGTCGATAGAGATTGAAAAATGTCTTTTCTTCTTCTTATTCTTTCAAACAGAATATATTCGAAATGCACTTATTACTTTTTTCGTCGAAAGATCAAGTCTAAACGCTCTCATACGACAAGAAAAATAATTGAAAATGGATGAAAAACTACTTCTCTGCACCATATGTTCTTCGCTGTTCTTTTCTTGTCAATTGTTGCCACTTTAGAGCGATCACGATGTAGCAACGTAGCGAGAGTGACCCTTATGACTACGTTGCGATTGATCACAGCATCGACGAGATGCTGTTAAAGACCGACAGCTCCAGATAAATTCGTCGGTGCCACAGTCAATTTTATCAATCTATGCTTATGGTAATGATTGACCAATTAGAGAGTGTTATTTTGAATTAAACAATTGACGACGTGATCAATTGGGTGCCATTCCCACGTCGTACAAAAAAATGCTTTTCTTTTTTATCTGCAAGAGTGAAAGGGGGTGTATACACTTATAATTGACGAAAAATATACTAACTAGGGTGACACTGAGAAGAACTAGAATGGATCTAATATCTTTTCTCCATTATAACATCGATTACAACTAATCAATTCTTTAATTATTTATTTATTATGTACATTTAATTACATATTAATTATATGTATATTTATTTACATATTGCATGTATATATATAATCTATATTATAATAAAATTATATACACTGTAAATGATTTTCTTATTGAAATTTTTAATATTATTTCTCCCTGTCTTTTATAATCTAAATGGATTTTAATATTTTTAGTGATTTTTCTCCTTTTCACTTTTTGATGAAAAACATTAATAAAAAAAAATTATGACAAAGAAAATTTCTTATTTCTTTTTATTAAATTTATTATTAAAGAATTGAATCAATTTTGTAAATACCTCAATTGATAAATAAAGTTGATAGATAAAATTATATATTGTACATTTATATTGCGTAATATTTTATGTTAAACTATGGTAATTGGAGAAGGTTCACATTATTCGATATGTATAGCTTCATGTATGAATAAAAATACGATCTGTGATCTGCGATTTAGCTCGAAACTGATGTCAAAAGAATCATATTCTGAAAATATTTCCTTTAGCTGCTCTACGCATAAAATTATCCTTTGTACTCGTGTCTAATTTAATATACTCCTCCGATAGGACTACAGCTTTCATATGATGCACAGCAAAGTAAAAGCAGAATTCCTCGAGCTCCTGTAATTCACATGTTATTCGATGATATATTGTACACATATAAATAAGTACATTGCAATTAATAAATTCCAACGTTAATAGTATTAACTCTAAACTGTGACACTTACCTTAACATTATATTCGATCGCCTTATAGTAGAAGAAGACTACATTTGACACAGTGATGGTTTCCTTTATTATTTTGCTAGAATCTTTTATAAGATTAGTTACACAATACATGTCGGCCAATTCCATAAGTTCTGTAATAAAGTGTCGTTTCAGTTTCTGAATTGTAAGTTTGTGATAACTTGCGTTTAGATTCAATTACCTAATGCGTTCTCCGAAGGTAAATCAATTGTGCCAGTATATAAATATTTCAAGAAGGCTTTATAAACGACGTAAGAAAATTTATTCGATACGGTGTACACTGTTATGCTGTCAAAAAACAATGTTTGTCATTACGTAATCAAAATTAAAAAATTCTGAATAAGAGTACCAATTTTTTTCCAAAGTTTACCTTTGAGTATTTTCCTTCCAATTATATTGAAACATTTTTTTAAAATACTGACAACGAATCTTAAGGATAGCTTTGTGAACATAAATAGGTCGTTCTTCGACTCGTATGGTAAAATCACTCGTCAACTGAAGAACAAATTATTAAATAATAATTAGATTAATATAACAATTATAAAAAAAATAAGTAATTTCTCACTTTTAATATTATGATTCAATATAGGACTGGAATGAGATTAGAAGTTTTAATCAAAACAATCATTAACAATTGGAATTTATTTTTTCTAGTAAAAAAAAGTTCCCTTAATTCTTTTACAAAATCTACAAAGTGAGTGAAAGCGATGTCGTTCGACAAACAGCATCTGAGGTACTGCCTTCTGTTTACCTTTCAATTGGAAAAAAATGTCGCAGAAGTTAAAGAAATGATTTCTTTGGCTTTGGGCGAAAATGCTATTTTCTACAGTGCAAAAAGTGATTCTAAAGATTTAAAAGTGAAAATTTGGATCTTAAGGATGAAGAACGCTCGGATCAACCAAAAAAAGTTGAAGATGAAGAACTTGAAGAATTTTTAAATAAAACTTCTTATCATATATAAAACTTAATATTCAAAACTTTAATAAGAAGTTTTAATATTTAAAACTTCTTATCATATATAGTCAGAGCTTGCAAAGGCACTTGGAGTAACACGACAAGTTCATTTTCGAATGTCTACATAAACTGGGCAGGATTCAGAAGGAGGATTCTGCATGTGTTTAGTCTCAAAAACAAGACTAGACACCGCGATATCGCCATGTCCTTGCTATTCAGGTTTAAAAAGAAAGACTCTTTGCACAAGATAGTGACGTGTAATGAAAAGTGGATACTGTATGACAATCTGAAAAGGCGAAAATCTTGGGTTTAACCTGGTGAGCCAGCACTTCAAAACTGAACATTCACGCAAAAAAAGTTTTGCTGTGTGTTTGGTGGGACCAGAAAGGTATTATTCACTATGAGTTGCTCCAACCTGATCAAACTGTCACTGCTGGTGTTCATTATGAAGAGCAACTGATTCGAGGGAGTGACGTGAGGAGAAAAGGCCTTTTACCGGGAGAAGGAAAGTGATATTGCAGCAGGACAACGCGTGATCACACACTGCAAAAGGAACACTACAAACAATCTTGGACTTGGGCTGGGAAATTCTCCCTTACGCTGCGTATTCTCCGGACTTCGCCCCTTCGGATTATCATCCCTTCAGATCCTTGCAGCATCACGTGGCTGAACCACTTTACATTTGTTGAGGAGATAGAAAGAAGCATCGTGGAGTTCATCGACTCAAAACAACCATCTATTTTCCGAAAGTGGAATTCGACAGTTGTCTAAAAGATGGCAAAAATGTGTAGAAAGTGAAAGGGATTACTTTGAAGATTAAGTAACTATTCGTTTTTTTTATAAATAAACACCAAAATTTTGTAAAAAAAACCCGAGAATTAAGCATCTCTATTCCTTATTATAACAACCAAATCAAAATGAAAATATGTATCATATAGTTTTATGCTATAAAATAAAAAAATGTATACAGAATAATAATGAGACATACCGGGTCATCGAATATTGCTCTTAAAGATTCCAATGTACCCAATACTTCTTCAACATTGAAATTATTCGTAAACACAATCAATGAATTGTGTCTGATTCTCCACATACTGTGCGCAAACGCGTCATAAATGTTCGAAAACTTCGTGGGGAACGGGATAGAAGTACAGCATTCTAGAAAAAGGTGACCCCACACATAGATAATCCTATCATAGCCAATGGCAACGCTTACGTTACGGCAAGCAGCGATATCCAAAACCTTTCTCATTTCGGGGACGTTTATCTGTCGATCAGAAATGTCGATTATATGTTTCCTTATTATTCTGTTCCTCGTTTCACTCATCATGGCAATTATTAAAAAGTATTTATCAATAATTCGTGAATTACCACTGTCGGACCGGAGGGTTTCCCATTACTATTTACACCTATTTGTCCACAATTGTTATCTCCCCAGGCATAGACTTCTCCTTTACTTGTGAGCGCCAACGTATGTCGATCGCCGCAGACCACCTTAACTAAAACGTCATTCTATCATGAGGATGCTCGAAACTGTAACATTCTTAGAGATAAATTTTAAAAAACTTCAGACACAAATTTAAAAAAAAAATTTACCTATTTTATCCGAGATTGTGATAATTTTGCGTGGGTATTTGTAATATTTTTGGGGCTGGATTGAAATCTGGCCGCGCCTGTTATCGCCCCAACCATATATTGTATTTTCGTCAGTTACAACTATGTTGAAAGTTAAACCACACACGATGAGGACAACTTTCTCTTTCCCCAATTTATGTTTCACCTGCCACGGCACGCTAAAATAAGCTGTATTTTCTATACCAATCCGACTATCATTTTCTTCCCAATCACTTTCTTCCAAATCACTTTCTTCCGAATCATTTACTTCCGAATCACTTTCTTTCGAATAATTTTTGTTCCAATTCTTTTCTTCCCAATTCTTTTTTTCCCATTCATACACCTAAATAACAAACAATTGTTTAGTTTATCAGAATGATTATTATCGTTATCGTCATTGTGACAGTTTAATCTTTTACTTACCTTTCCATCGCTAGTCAGAGCGAGACCATAATGACGTCCGCATCCGATGTTCACGATACGATTGTCACTTAGGTCGGCCACTCGACTAAACGGGAATACGTAAGAAAACTTACGAGTCAAATGCGGGTTTTCCGTGATTTTCCAGGAATAAACCTTTTAATAATAGCATAACTGTATACATTTTTTGATCTGATTTTCTGAATCACATTTAGAATATTTAAGTATAAAAGCTTTTGAAAAACTTGATAAAAAATTCAAGATAAAGTTTGATATTATCTTAAATACTTTTCAACATAAATTCATTGGTCATGTTCATACATGTAAAAAATTTGAAATTTTTTTCTCACATTTTTAAAATATTACGAAACTAAGTGTGAACATATGTATTGCTTTCATTTTTACAATCAGATTGAATGTAAAGAATTAAAAATTACGTGCAGTATCTGCTTTTCTATATCCATTAGAGATATTTTCAAAATTATTTTTGTGATTTTTCTTATTAAAAAATAAAAATTATATCATTACAATATTTTACATATTAATATTAAAAATATTTGCATGTCGAAAAAAATATTATGGCTAAATATTTGTTCTCCTAGTCAAAGCGATTTATTTATTTAACATATATATTCTTAATTATAATTTATCTACTTACATTTTATCTACTTACATTTCATTATGATTTCACACACATGTGTATATGTAATAATTGTTATTTTTACTTGTACTCTAAGAAAAAGTTTATTTTGGAGATGATATAAAACCTCCTAATATCAATTTTATTCATTCAAGAAATATGAATTCTGACGTACCTCTCCCTCTTCTGTAAGTGCCAGGATAAAACTATATCTGTATGCAAAAGTCTTTATGTTTTTTCCACATAATTCTTTTATTTCTCTTAAAAAGAAACCAGTCTTTAAATACTCTTCTTTATAATCTAAGATATAGACATTCTTGTCCTTCGTCACAATTATAGTTTTATGTTTACAGTCACCTTCAAAATATTATGATTTATAATATAAAAATATATACAGTATTAAAACACAATATAATGAAAAATGGTAAATTTTACCATATAGCATAACCATGTGAATTTCTGGGATAAATTCTGACTTTAGCAGATGAAAGAACGGCCATCTTTTAAGATCTATTGACATTATCTTCTCCGCTAAAATGCATTGCAAGATTCTCTTCTCACATATTTGCATCTCACTACAAATAATTGGTAATTGGGCTTTAAGTTTAGTTACTTACTCATTCACATTATTTTGAATTAATTGTATTTTATGTCATCGCACGATTCTCGTTTTTACTTATTATCTTATTATCTGCGATTATTTCAACATTACTTTCGCGCAGCAGCGACTTGTATAGGAAAAAAAAGAAAAACAAGACCGCCGAACTTACTTTTTATTAGTTGATGTTTCTGAATTCGTCTTCTGTATATTTTTATTTGAGGAATAGAATGGCGTGATAGCATTATTTTCTATCGCTGTTCTGTGTTTACACTTAGCCTGAGTACTTATATTTAATTTATTATAATCTTCCGATAATGTGTCATCTGTCATGTGACGCGAAGCAAACTGGAAGCAGAACTCCTCGAGTTCCTAAAATTCACATGATATATTTCAATAATCATACACTTAAATAAATACATAGGAATTAATAAATTCCAACATTAATAGCGATTAAATTTAAATTATAGCACTTACCTTAGCATTGTATTCGATCGCTTTATTGTAGAAGAATCCTACATTTGACACAGTGATGGTTTGCTTTATTATCTGACTGCAATCTTTTTTAAGATTGGTTTTACAATACATTTCGGCCAATTCCATAAGCTCTGTAATGAAGTGTCGCTTCAGTTTCTGAATTATAAATTATGACAGCTTTAATATTTACGACCCAAATTACCTAATGTGTTCTCCAAAGGTAAATCGATTGTGCTGGTATATAAGTATTTCAAGAAGGCTTTATAAACGACGTAAGAAAATTTATCCGATACGGTGTATACTGATAATGAATCCGATATACTGTCGAAAAAATACTGGCAACGAATTTTAATAATGGGCTTGTGAACGTAAATAGATTGTCCTTCGACTTGTATGGTAAGATCGCTCGTCAACTAAAGGACAAAAATTATTGAATAATTTAATAATATTAAATTAATATAAAAATTATCATAAAAAATACATAACTTTTTACTTTTCATTTTTAATTCAATATGTAATTACTTAATTCAATACACACACACACACACACATACACACACACACACACACACACAAACTTATAATTCAATATATGCCTGGAATGAGACTCGAAGTTCTAATCAAAACAATCATTAACGATTGCAATTTATTTTTTTCTATATAAAAAAAAATTTTCCAATTCTTTCTTAGAAAAATCTACAAATCTCTTACAAATCTTTATATTTTTTATACCAACCAACCAAGCGAATATAAAAATATGTATTATATATAGTTAATTTTACTATATATAATGCAAAAAAGTACATACAAAACAATAATATAAAACATACCGGATCATCAAATGCTGCTTCTAAGGATTCTAATATATTTAATACTTTTTCAGTATACTTGTAATTATAATTATTCGTAATTCGCACGGTGTGTAAAGAGTTATGCACAATCAATGGCTTGTTCGGACGTTTCCACGTACTGTGCACAAATACATCAAAAATTCTTGAAAATTTCGTCGGACAAGGTTGGGTAATCTCTTGCGAGAAGTACAAACCCCATACATAGATAGTCCTATCATAGCCGACGGCAATGCTCATGTTACCATAAGCATCAATATTCAAAACCTTTCCCATCTGAGGCACGTTCACCTATTGATTATATGATTTTTTTATTATATCATTTCTCGTTCCACTCAGCGCATGGCGATTATTAAAAAGTTTTTTCAATTTTCATTCATGAATTACCATGATCGGACCGGACGGTTTTTGATTGTTCTTTACGCCCAATTGCCCATAAAAGTTATCGCCCCAGGCATAGAGCTCTCCTTTATTTGTGATCGCCAACGTATGAGAGAATCCACAGACCATCTTAACTAAAACATTAATCTCCCATGAAGATGTTCGATACTGTGATATTCTTAGAGACCAAATCTCAGATATAAATTTTTAAAAAATTTACCTATTTTATTTTCCGAGAACGTCGTAATTTCGCGTGGATATTTGTAATATTTTTGCGCCCGGTCGAATGAAATCTGGCCGTTATAGTTATCGCCCCAACCATACAGTTTGTTTTCGTCAGTTATAACCATATTGAATTTATGACCACACGCGATATAAATAATATTCTTGTTCTTTAATCTACGTTTTACTTGCCTCACTCTACGATTAAAAATAGCTATGTTTTTATTACCATCTAGCATATAATTACCGTTTCTCCAAGCATACACCTAAATTACAAAGAATTGTTTAGATTATAAGAATAACTATTATCGTTATCATTGTGATAGTTTAATTCTTTTGCTTACCTTTCCATGGCTAGTCAGAGCGAGAAAATGATAATTGCCGCATGCAATGTCCACGATACCCTTGTAGTTTAAGCTAGCGACTTGAATAAACGTGGGTACGTCGGATTGCTCCTGATTCGAATCGCGCTTTTTCGTGAATTTGTAGACATAAACCTTTTAAAAATAACATAGTTGTAAAATGCACTTTTTGATTCTATTTTTTCCAATTTCTAATTTTATATTTATAATGTTAAATATTTAAGGATGACAGCATTGCTAGAAAAGAAAAGATTAATGATGAAGTTTTATATTATTCCATTGTCAAGTGCTTTTCAGTTTGATAAATTTTACAAACTTATTGGCCATTATGATATTCCAAAAAAATTGTACGTTTTCTCGTGTTTTTAAAATATTATGAAAATTAATTAAGTTACAATTGTATGTATGTATATTGTTTTAATTTTTACGAAACTGGATTGAATGTATGAAGAATTAAAAATGTTCTGCAATCTCTGTTTTTTCTTGTTTAGCAGATTTATATATTTTTAAAACTTTTTCATTTTTTTCTTATTAAAAAGATAAAAGTTACATCATTATAATCTTTCACATCTCATAGTCTTAATTTTAAAAATACTTGTATGTTGAAATAAGTATTATTAAGTAATGGCCAAATATCTACACTTCTAATGCCATTTATTTATTTAATATAAATTTTAGGTAATTTTTATACTTATTATTATATAGTATATTTTATTATGATTTCACACGCATGTATATATATAAATTTTCATTTTCATTTGTTTGCTAAGAAACATTCACAATTCGGAAGATTAAAACCTCATTCTACATTAATCTTATCTTTTAAGCAATTTAAAATTCATTAATGTTAAATTCTTAAATGTTGCCAGTAGATAAAATAAAAGACGTAAGTTAAATCGATCACACTGATAATTTATTGATATTCCTTATAAGGATTAAAACCCATGATCGAAACATTACCAACCAATAAATTGCCAGGGTCGATTTAACTTACGTCTTTTAAAATTTATTTATTTCTAGAAACTCAAATATGCATTATTCTAAGAATATGAACTCTTTTATATACCTCTCCCTCCTCTGTAAGTGCCAAGACGATACTCCAGCTGTGAGCAAAGGTCTGAATGTTTTTTCCACACAATTCTTTTATCTTTTTTGCGTAGGAAAAAATATGTACGTGATCAGTCATTGAACGAAAATCTTTATTACAATCTATGTTGTAAACATTCTTATCCTTTGTCACAATTACGGCACCCCTAGATGTTTCATACTTACCTTCAAAATATTATGCTGTGAGTAACAATATTACATAGCAAGAAAAGACAATAAATGAAAAAAATAAATTTTACCATACAACACAACCATGTGAATTTGTTGGGTAAATTCCTCCTTTAGGTAATGAAAGAATGGCCAATATTTAAGATCTATTGGAATTATCTTTTCCGCTAAAATGCACTGCAAGATTCTCTTCTCATATTTTTGCATCTCTCTATAAATGATTTATAATTTTCAGTTTAGTTGCTTATTTGATTGGAATTAATTATACTTTATGTTATCGGACGCTTTTTATTTTTTCCTATTATCTTACCGACATCTACGATTATTTCGACATCGTTACCGCCCAGCAGTAACTTGTATAGAAAAAAAGAGAAAAACAAAATTATACTTACTCGTTTTCGTTAGTTGTTATTTCTGAATTTCTCTTCTCTATATCTTTCGGGGAGCAGAATTTTTTTGAAATCGACATGATAGAAACGCGACTTTATGTTGATAAGGAGTGAAAAATGCTTTTCCTTCTTCTTTTTCTCTCAAACAAAACTCATTCAAAACTTTTCACGCTTTTATTATTTTCTTCGCAGAAAGATCAAGTCGAAACACACTCATATAATAATAAAAATAATTGAAAAAAATGGATGAAAAATTATTCATGTGCACCACGTGTTCTTCATAGTTCCCTTGTTGAATGTTGCTTTAGGGCGCATTCAAACTTTGGTAGGAGAAAAGCGAGAAATAGAAAAGCAAAAACCAATCAATTCGTATTGGTAGCATATTCTGCTCTTCTGTGATTGGCTCCTGCTTTTCTTTTTTCTATCAAGGTCTGAATGCGCCTTTAGGGAGATCATGATTCAATCACGTAATACAAAAAATCTGCAAGAGCGGAGGGAAATGAATAAACACTTTAATCGACGAGGTTCACTTACTTCTTCGTAAAGATTAAGAATTTCGCACAAGTAAATACTTTTATACGAGTAACGCACATGAAAAAATATATATTCAAGAATCAACAAAGAGATATTATTCCAACTTGAGGAATGTGCGGGCAGAAACTTGCTTACTTCGCATGTGATTTGTTCCCACGCTTAACTGAGAAAAAATATATGTAATGCATATGTATATGTTACTATTAGTATTTATATATGAATTAATTTCTCTGATTTATTTTCTTAACTCTTTCGTACTTCCGAGACATATATATATGTCGCACCTACGAAAATTATAACTTTTAAACAAATAATCCTATCGACTTTTACTTATTTTAAAGAAAAAGGTTCAAGTTATATGTAAAAAAATCGCGCACTTTGAAGTGCAATGTTTACAATAATATATAATTATCTACTTTGCAAAAAATCAAACTTTTAGAGAATGAAGATTAACCATGTAATACTTGACAAAACATAGAATTTATGCGCTAATTATAAACTTTTATAAAGTTTTATTTAAGTGTGATTATAACTTTATTATGATAAATATTATAATATTTTATATATGTAATCAAAGTAAGACGACGCGTGCGACGGGCATTCAAGTCTCGCGGCAGATGCGCGGCTTGCAAAGAAAAGTGTATAACAACGCTATCAGTCGAACATGTGTGTGTGTGTATATTTAGAAAAAAACATAATATATATTTAAAAAAATAAAATCTAAGCTCATATTTTAAATATATTAATATTTAATTTTTCTATAGTCGCCATCTTAAATCTGCCATTTTGAATTTAAATTTTAATGATAAATTTGGAATTAGCACCCAAAACCTTATAAAATTGTCTTTGAATGAAACACATCTCTTTTGGGAAAGCTGGAGGTACGAAAGGGTTAATTGCATATATAAATTAAAAGAGATTTAATTATACAAAGTTTATAATCAATATGAGAGTGTATCCAAGTTCTATGGCGGTTATTTATACCTATACAATTTTGTCTACTCGCGCGAAAATTTTCTTTGTCGCCATTCGATTAAATGAATTACATTAAATGAAAAATATGCTAACTAGGGCGACACTGAGAAGAAATAGAATGGATTTATAATTTCTTCTTTCCATTACAACTAATCAATTCTTTAATTATAATTACATATTGCATGTATATAAAAAAATGCATATTATACATATATAAGAAAAAAATTATCTATACTGTAAATGATTTTCTGATTGAAATTTTTATTATTATTTTTCTCTATCTTTTATGATCTCAATAGATATTAATATATTTTTAGTGATTCTTTTATTTGATTATTCACTTTTTCATAAAAGACACTAGTGAGAGAAAAAAAAATTTTTATGAGAAAAATAAAATTTCTTATTTCTTTTTATGAAATTTATTATTAAAGAATTGAATCAATTTTGTAAATACTTCAATTGATAAATAAAATTAGATGAAATTATATATTGTATATTTATATTACGTAATATTATGTTAAACTATAGAATGGTAACTGGAACAAGGTTTACCTTATTCGATATGTATAGCTTCATTGATACATATATGGGAATAAAAAAACAATTGACAATTTGGCACAAAACTTGCACTTAACAAAAATTATCTTTTAAAAATATCTTCTTCAGCTGCTTCTTCAGCTGCTCTGCGTATAAAATTATATTTTGTATTCATGTCTAACTTAATATACTCTTCCGATAGTATTACAGCTTTCATGTGACGCAAAGCAAAGTGCAAGCAGAATTTCTCGAGTTCCTGTAATTCACATGATATACAATGATATTGTACACATATAAATAAATACATTGCAATTAATAAATTCCACGAGTAATAGTAATTAACTCCAAAATACTTGTAATACTTACCTTAGCATTGCATTTGATCGCCTTATTGTAGAAGAAGGCTACATTTGACACAGTGATGGTTTCCTTTATTATTTCGCTAGAATCTTTTATAAGATTGGTTTCACAGTACATGTCGGCCAATTCCATAAGTTCTGTAATAAAATGTTGTTTCAGTTTCTGAATTGTAAATATGTAATAATTTACATTTACAGCTTCAATTACCTAATGCGTTCTCCGCAGGTAAATCGATTATGCCGGTATACAAATATTTCAAGAAGGCTTTATAAACGACGTAAGAAAATTTATCTGATACGGTGTACACTGAATCCGATATGCTGTCAAAAAACAATGTTTGTCATTATGTAACCAAAGTTGAGAAATTCTAAATAATTCTTTTCTAAGTTTACCTTTGAATATTTTCAATCCAATCATGTTGAAACATGTTTTTAAAATACTGACAACGAATCATAAGGATAGCCTTGTGAACATAAATAGGTCGTTCTTCTACTCGTATGGTAAGATCACTCGTGCACTAAAGAACAAATTATTAAATAATAGTATTAGATTAATATTTTTCACTTTTAATATTATAATTCAATATAGGACTGGATTGAGACCAGAAATTCTAATCATAATAATCATTAACAATTGCAATTTATATTTTCTAGTAGAATTAATATTTAATTCTCTCCTACAAAATCTACAAATTTCTTACAAATCTCTATTCTTTTATACCAACCAAATTAAAATGAAAATATGTATTGCATATAGTTTTATGCTATATAATTACAAAATGCATACAGAATAATTATGAGACATACCGGGTCATTAAATACTGCTCTTAGCGATTCCAATATATTCAATATTTCTTTAACATTGAAATTATTGAAATTATTCGTAAGTACAATGAATGGTTTGAACATGGATGTCTGCAGGCTGTGCACAGACACGTCATGAATGTTCGAAAACTTCGTCGGAAACGGGATATTAATACAAGATCTCTTTTTGTTAGTAAAATAAGAATTGCAATAAAATTCACCCCACACGTAGATAATCCTATCAGTGCCGACGGCAACGCTGAAGAAATGATAAGCAGCGATATCCAAAATCTTTCCCATGTCGGGGACGTTTACCTGTCGATCATATCTTTCGTTATGTCCGCCATTCCACTCATCATAGCAATTATTAAAAAGTATTTATCAATAATAAATGAATTACCACTGTCGGACCGGAGGATTTCCTATTGCTATTTACACCTACTTGTCCACGACTGTTATCGCCCCAGGCATAGACTTCTCCTTTACATGTGAGCGCTAACGTATGACTGTCCCCGCAAGCCACCTTAACTAAAATGTTAATCTCTCATAGAAATGTTCGATACTAACATTTTCAGAAATAAAATCTCAGACATAAATATTTAAAAAATTTACCTATTTCATCCGAGATTGTGATAATTTCGTGTGGGTGTTTGTAATATGTTTGGGACCGGACGTTTGAAATCTGATTTCTCCCGTTATAGCCCCAACCGTATATAGTATTTTCGTCAGTTACAACTATGTTGAAAAATAAACCACACGCGATATGGACAACTTTCTTCTTCTCCAATTTATGTTTCATCTGCCTTGGCACATTAAAAGCTGTGTTTTCGTTACCAATCTGACTATCATTTTTTTCCCAATAATTTCCCCAAGTATACACCTAAATTACATACAACTGTTTATTAGAATGATTATTATTGTTATCATTGTGATAGCTTAATTTTTTATTTACCTCTCCATCGCTGGTCAGAGCGAGAATATATAACTCTCTACATGCGATGTCCACGATACGCTTGTCGCTTAATTCGGCGACTCGAATAAACGTGGATAAGTACAAAATTTCATTAGAGTTAGGGTTTTTCACCTTTTCGCAGTAATAAACCTTTTAAAAAAGCATAGCTATAATACATTTTTTGATCCGATTTTCTGAATAAAATTTAGAATATTTAAGTATGAAAGCACTTGGAAAGATTTGACAAAAAAATTCAAGATAAAGCTTGATATTATTTCATCCTAAGTACTTTTCAACATGAGAAATTTATATAATAAATTTATATAAATTCATTGACCATATTGATACGTGTAAAAAAAAGTTTTCTCGCATTTTAAAAATATTATGAAACCAAATGTATGTGTGTGTGTATTACTTTAATTTTTACGACCATATTGAATGTAAAAAATTCAAAATTACGTGCAATATCTGCTTTTTTATATCCATTAGAGATATTTTCAAAATTATTTTCGTAATTTTTCTTATTAAAAAAATAAAAATTATATCATTACAATATTTTACATATTAATATTAACAATATTTGTTGAAAAAAATATTATGGCTAAATATTTGTTCTCCTAGTCTAAGCAATTTATTTATTTAATATATATATCTTTTTTATTTAATATATATATCTTTATTAATATATATATCTTTCTTAATTATAATTTATCTACTTACATTTTATTATGATTTCACACACACGTGTATATGTAATAATTTTCATTTTCACTTGTTCTCGAAAAAAAGTTCATGCTTTAGGGATGATATAAAACCTCCTAATATCAATTTTATTCATTCAAGGAATATGAATTTTGACGTACCTCTCCCTCTTCTGTAAGTGCCAGGATAGAATTACATCTGTCTGCAAAGATCTTTATGTTTTTTCCACACAATTCTTTTATTTTTTTTAGTGCAGTAGGCGTGTCTCCAGTCTTTAAGTGCTTTTTTTTATAATGTAAGTTGTAGACATTCTTGTCCTTCATCACAATTATAACCGCATTACCAGAATTGTCTGTCTCAAATTGCCATGGTATAAAGAATAATATCACATAATAAAAAAGACAATATAATGAAAAATGGTAAATCTTACCATAAACCATAACCATGTGAATTTGTGCTATAAATCCCACATTTAGCATATGAAAGAACAGCCAATATTTAAGATCTATTGGAATTATCTTTTCCACTAGAACGCATTGCAAGATTCTCTTCTCAAATTTTTGCATCTTACTACAAATAATTTGATAACTTTAAGTTTAGTTACTTTATTTACTTATTTTGATTTGAATTAGTTGTACTTCATATTATCGCACACTTGTTGTTTTCACTTATGATCTTGCGACATCTGCGATTATTTCGACATTGCTATCGCCTAGCAGCGATAAAAATATAAAGGAAGAAAAAAACAAGACCATCGAACTTACTTTTTTTTAATTGTTGTTTGTGAATTTCTCTTCTTTACATTTTTATTCGGAGAAAGTAATGTTGACGATGTGATTGTAACGTCATTTTGTATTAATTCTCTGTGTACAATCTCGGTACTCATATCTAATTTAAGATAATCTTCCGATAATATGTTAGCTGTCATGTGACGCAAAGCAAACTGGAAGCAGTACTTCTCGAGTTCCTAAAATTCACATGGTTCAACGATATATTATACACATAAGTAAATACATTGCAATTAATGAATTTTCTAACATATAGCGATTAACTTTGACTTATAGTATTTACCTTAGCATTGTACTCAATCGCTTTATTGTACAAGAATGCTACATTTGACACAGTGATGGTTTGCTTTATTATCCGACTGCAATCTTTTTTAAGATTCGTTTCACAATACAACTCGGCCAATTCCATAAGCTCTGTAATGAAATTTCGCTTCGATTTCTGAACTGTAAGTTTGTGATAATTTACGTTTACAATTTCAATTACCTAATGAGTTTTCCGAAAGTAAATCGATTGTGCCTGTATACAAGTATTTCAAGAAGGCTTTATAAACGATGTAAGAAAATTTATCCGATACGATGTATACTGGTGATGAATCCGATGTACTGTCAAAAAAAGCATGTGACATTATGTAATAATCAAAGTTAAAAAATTCTCATTAAAAGTACCAGTCTCTTTTTTTAAATGTTTACCTTTGAACATCTTCAGTGCAATCATGGTAAAACATGTTTCTAAAATACTGGCAACGAATAATGAGAATAACCTGGTGAACGTAAATAGGTTGTCTTTCGACTTGTATGGTAAGATCGCTCGTCAACTGAAAGACAAAAATTATTGAATAATTTAATAAGATTAAATTAATATAAAAATTATCATAAAAAATACATAACTTTTCACTTTTAATTCAATATATAATACTAAATTCAATACTTAATTCAATACACACACACACACACACACACACACACACACACACACACGCGCGCGCACGCACGCACGCACGCACGCACGCACGCACGCACGCACTTATAATTCAATATATGACTGGAATGAGATCTAAAGTCTTAGTCAAAACAATCATTAATGATTGCAATTTATATTTTTCTTACTTTTTGTTATATTTTTCTGTATAAAAAATTTTTTTCCAATTATTTCTTTCAAAAATCTGCAAATCTCTATGTTCTTTTATACTAACCGATCAATCTAATATGTAAATATGTATTATACAGGGATGGAAAAGTTACTTTTTAAAAGTAACCTTTACCAAGTAAAAAAAGTAATTCGTTACCGTTATTAGTTACTTATTTTTAAAAATTACTCTTCAAAAGTAACGATTCATTATTTTTCCCGTTACTTTTAATGTCAAAACAAGATAAAACTAAAAAGAATTCCGCATAAAGTAAAAAAATTATTTTGGTAAAAAAAAAATATTAATATGTGTATATATATGATATATGTATATATGATATATTATTATATATATAATTAAAAAAATATTTTTTATTAAAATATTAATAAAAACAACAAATTTTTTATTTTAAATTTACAAAACCGTAAAAATTTAAAGAGATATAGATTTTAAAGCACTTAACATGTAACTTCACATGTAAATAAAAAAATTTTAATTTCCATTAAATTTATAAATACAGCTAAATTTACATTTTTTTTGTGCTCTCGTCCGATATTACATCAAATTTAAAAGCTGGCCAATCACATTCATTCCTCAGAAGAATGGAATAACTGTGATTGATCAATGACATCATTAATCGCTCTCAGAGATGTCTGTGAAGCTGGCACGACAATCTACGAATTTCAAAAAAATACTAATTGTAAGAGATCTGATAGCACTTTTCATAGTTCTACAGTTCCTGAAAATTAATAAATAATTACATAATTATAAAATAGTAAACGGTTGGAACTTTGTGCAAAAATATTTCTAAAGGATAGAACTTTTATAGAACCGTCCAGAACTGACGTTAAAACTAGAGAAAATCAGCGACACATTTTCACTAAATGCTGGTCAAGAACATAAAAAATTGATAAAAAATTATTAATTTTTGGAATATCGATTTAAAATTGCATATATAGGCAGAACTATAACAAAACTATCGAGAACTGTTGTCAAAAATAGATAATTTTCATCGCGTTTTAGTACTTTAGAGAGAAAATGCCATACTGTGTAATTGTAAAAAATTGTTTAAAAAATAGTAAATAGTCAGAACTCTGTGTAAAAAGTGTTTCTAAAATTGCCGTTAAAACTACAGAAAATCATCAGTACGACACATTTTTACTAAGTGCTGGTCGAGGATATTAAAAATTCATAAAAAATTATTAATTATTGAAAGAACTTTTGCTAAAAATAATAATATTCAACGCGTTTTAGTATTATAGAGGAAAGAGTGTCGTGCTAGATTCGCGAGGTTACACATTTTTTCGATTTCGATTTTTTAATATAAGAAATGCGGAACTCTTTTTTAAATTTTATCAGAAACTATAGAACTATGAAAAGTGCTATCAGAACTCTTAGTATTTTTTTTTAATTCGTAGATTGTCGTGCCAGCTTCACAGACATCTCTCGAAGCAATAAATTTCATCCGAAGTATTATCGAATTTTATATGAATGTCGATCGACTAAAAATTGAATATTATAGAAATACGATGTAAGTAAGTATAGAAATACGATGTCAGTAAGTATTATCAAAATATGAAAAGTAACGATAAAAGTAACTGTTAAAATCGTTATCGTTACTAAAAAATGTAAATACGTTATCGTTACAGAAAAAAAATGTATCGCCGTTACCAGTCCGTTATCAAAAAAAAAGTAACTATAACGCCAACGGCGTTACAAGTAACGCGTTACTTCCCAACCCTAGTATTATATATACTTAATTTTACCATACATACATATATATATATATATATATATATATATATATATAATGCAAAAAAGTGCATACAAAACAATAATATGAAACGTACCGGATCATCAAATGCTGCTCCTAAGGATTCTAATATATTTAATATTTCTTCAGTATACTTGTAATTATAATTATTCGTAATTCCCTCAGTGTGTACAGAATCATGCACAATCAACGGCTTGTGCATGCGAATCGACATAGTGTGCGTAAACACATCGCAAATTCTTAAAAATTTCGTGGGAAAAGGTTGAGTAATCTTTTGATCAAAGTAATTACCCCATACATAGATAGTCCTATCATAGCCAACGGCAACGCTCATGTTACCATAAGCGTCAACATTTAAAACCTTTCCCATTTGTCGCACGTTCACCTGTTGATTGTATCATTTTTTATTATACAATTTCTCGTTTCGCTCAAAACGTGGTGATTAATAAAAAATTTTTTAAATTTTTATTCTTGAATTACCACGATTGGATCGGAGGATTTTATCTTGTTATTTCTGCCCACTTGTCCACAACTGTTACCGCCCCAGGCATAGATCTCTCCTTTATTTGTAAGCGCCAACGTATGCGCGTATCCGCAGACCACCTTATCTAAAACATCAATCTCTCATGAAGATGATCGATACTGTAATATTCTTAGGGACCAAATCTCAGACATAAATTTATAAAAAATTTACCTATTTTATCCGAGAATGTGGTAATTTCGCATGGGTATACGTATTGTTTTTGCGACTGTATGGTTGAAATCTGGCCATACTTGTTACTGCCCCAACCATATAGTTTGTTTTCGTCAGTTATAACCATATTGAATTTTTCACCACACGCGATATGAACAACATTCTTTTTATCCAATTCATGTTTTACTTGCCTCACCCTACCAGTAAAAATAGCTGTGTTTTTATTACCATCCAGCATATAATTACCATTTCTCCAAGCATACACCTAAATTACAAACAATTTTTTAGCTTATGAGAATAATTCTTATTGTTATCATTGTGATAATTTAATCTTTGGCTTACCTCTCCATCGCTGGTCAAAACGAGAAAATGATGTTTGCCGCATGCAATGTCCACGATACGTTTCTTATTAAAGCCAGATACTCGAATCGGTGTGGACATAATAGGCCATTTCTTAGTGATTTCGTGTTTATCGAAAACCCAGAAGTAAACCTTTTAAAAATAGTATAGTTCTAATACATTTTTTGATTTCTTGAATCTCATTTTATGTTTAGAATGTTAATTTAAGTATAAAGCACTGCTAGAGAAGACTTAACAGAAGATTAATAATGAAGTTTGATATTATTTCTTCTTAAATACTTTTCTATTTAATAAATTTATATTATTAGCTATTTTTATATTTATGATGAAACTGGATGCTTTCTTATATTTTTAATATTATGTGAAACTAACAATAAGTGTGTGTGTGTGTATTGCTTTAATTTTTGCAATCACATTGAATGTAAAAAGTTAAAAATGTGCTGCAATTTCTGCTTTTCTTTGTTAATCAGTTTTCTCTTTTTTTTATTTTTTTTTTTTTATTAAGAGAAAAGTTACATCATTATAATCTTTCATATCCCATAATTTAATTTTAAATATCATAATTTTAAAAATATTTGTATGGTGAAATAACTGTTATAGTCAAATATATGTACTTCTGAGTAATTGATTTATTTTTAATAAAAATTTTAATTAATTTATCTACTTATTTTTATATAGTATATTTTATTATGATTTCACACGCATGTATATATGTATACATTTTCATTATCACTTGTTTTCCTTAAGAAAGGCAATTCAAAAGGCTATAAAACCTCATTCTATATCAATCTTATCTTTCAAGTAATATAAAATTTATTTATTCTCACAAATTTAAATATGCCATCAAAGCACATTCAAAGAATATGAACTTTTTGATATACCTTTCCCTCTTCTGTAAGTGCCAGGATGAAATACAAGCCGCGAGCAAAAGTCTTTATGTTTTTTCCACACAATTCTTCTATCTTTTTTAAGTCGGGAGGAAAATATCTCTTAGTAATCTCCGAACTCTCATATTTACTATAACTTAGACTGTACACATTCTTGTCTTTCGTCACAATTATAGCTTTATGATCATAGTTACCTTCAAAATATTATGATTTAGAATATATATATATATATATATATATATATATATATATATATTATATATATATATATAGGGTGTTTCTAAAACTATGTCGGAGATTTTAAGGTATTCTAGGGGTTAAAATAAGAAAAAGTTCATATAAACATGGGTCCAAAAATGCTTTTCCTCCGAGTTATAGCCCTCTAAAGTTGATAGAAAAAATTGTCAAAACCACATAAAAATGAAGCTCATTATTAATTATTACGTTGTGCAAAACTTTAACGTTCTATGAAAAAGTCTCCGAGAGTTACAATACATTTTTCGATTTTTTCTCTCAACTTTAGGGGGCTATAACTCGAAGGAAAAGCATTTTTGGACTCATGTTTATATGAGCTTTTTTTCTTATTTTAATCCCTAGAATACGCTCTTAAAATCTCCGATATAGTTTTAGAAACATCCTGTATATACGTAACAATATTACACAGCGAAAAAGACAATATAATGAAAAATGGTAAATTTACCATATACCATAACCATGTGGATTTGTCGGATAAATTCCGGTTTTAGCATATGAAAGAATGGCCAATGTTTAAGTTCCATTGACATTATCTTCTCCGCTAGAATGCATTGCAAGATTCTCTTCTTATATTTCTGCATCTCTCTGTAAATGGTTGATAACTTTCATTAATTGTTTATTCATTTTAATTTGAATTAATTGTACTTTATGTCATTGCACAGTTTCTTGTCTTCATCTAATATTTTGCCTGCGATTATTTCGACATCGCTATCGCCCATTTAGTAATTTGTAAAAAGGAAGAGAAAAGCAAAGCTATACTTACTTTTTTTCATTAATTGTTGTTTCTGCATTTCTCTTTTCTATATCTTCCGGGGAACAGAATTTTTTCGATGAACTCGACATGATAGAAACGCGACTTTGTGTCGGCAGGGGTTGAAAAATGCTTTTTCTCCTTCTTTTTCTCTCAAACACAATTTCGAAACGCTCCTATTACTTCCTTGGTAGATAGATCAAGTCGAAACGCACTTATACGATAATAAAAATAATTGAAAATTGATGAAAAACTATTCCTCTGCACCACGTGTTCTTCACAGTTCCTCCTTCTTCGAATGTTGCCACTTTAGTAGGACCACGATGGTTCCAAAAATGCAAGGCTAGGTAACAGGCAATAGGAACAGGTAATAGAAACCATTCACCAATAAATACACGGAATAGAACATATTCACCAATAGCAGCAGAGAAGATACTACTTCTTATTATCTGTTGCCTTGTGCAGCATTGTGCAAAGGCCTCTATTTTTCTCTATCTGGCAAGAGTAAAAGGAGATGTATACACTTATAATCGACGAGTTTTGCTTACTTTTTCATAAGAATTAAGAATTTTCCCCAAGTGAATACTTTTATACGAATAATGAATAAAAATAAACGTACTTGTAAAAACAAATACAGGAATCAACAGAGAGATATTATTTCAACTTGAGGAACGTGCGGGCAGAAACTTGCGTATATATTGCATGTGATTTTATGCACACTAAAAAAATATATGTAATATATATAACTAAAATATATGTAATATATATGTATATGTTACTATTAGTATTTATGTATGAATAAAATTCTCTAATTTATTTTCTTAATTGCATATATAAATTGACAAAGATTTAAATATATAAAGTTTATAACCAAGAAGAAAGTATCCAAGTTCCATCGCGGTTATTTGTAATTTATTTACAATCTATGCAATTTTGCCTACTCACAAAAAATATTTTTGTCGCCAACCGATTAAATGAAAAATATGCTAATTAGGGCGACATTGAGATGAACTAGAATGGATCTGTAATTTCTTCTTTTTATTAAAACTAATCAATTCTTCAATTATAACTACACGTTGCATGTACATAAAAGATCTATATTATATGTAAGAATAAAATTATCTATACCATAAATAATTTTCTGATTGAAAGTTTTAATATTTTTCTTTATTTCTTATGATCTCCATGAATTATAATATATTTTTAGTGATTCTCCTCTTTTTATATTTTCTTTATGATAAAAGACAAGGAGAGAAAAAAAATTTCTTATGAGAAATGAAATTTCGTATTTCTTTTTATCAAATTCATTATTTAATAATTGATTCAATTTTGTAAATATCTTAATAGCTAAAAAAATTAGATAAAACTGTATATTGAACATTTATATTATATAATATTACGTTAAACTATGGAATGGTAATTGGAATAAGGTTTATTAGACATGTATAGCTTCATTGATACATGTACAGAAATAAAAAAACAATCTGGGATTTAGCTGAAAACTTATGTCAAAAGAATGATATTCCGAAAGTATTTCCTTCAGCTGCTCTGCGCATAAAATTATCTTTTGTACTCGTATCTAACTTAATAAAATCTTCCGATAGTACTACAGCTTCCATGTGACGCAAAGCAAAGTGGAAGCAGAATTCCTTGAGTTCCTGTAATTCATATGATATTCGATGATATATTGTACACACATAAATGGATACATTGCACTTAATAAACTCCAACATTAATAGTAATTAAATCCAACCTGCAATATTTACCTTAGCATTGAATTCGATCGCCTTATTGTAGAAGAACATTACATTTGACACAGTGATGACTTTTATTATTTTCTGACTGCAATCTTTTAGAAGATTGATTTCACAATACATGTCGGCCAATTCCATAAGTTCTGTAAGAAAGTGTCGTTTCAGTTTCTGAATTGTAAATTTGTGATAATTTACGTTTAGATTCAATTACCTAATACGTTCTCCGCAGGTAAATCGATTATACCGGTATATAAATATTTCAAGAAAGCTTTATAAGTGACGTAGGAAAATTTATCCGATACGGTGTGCACTGATATGCTGTCAAAAAACAATGTTTGTCATTACGTAACCAAAATTAAAAAATTCTGAATAAGAGTATCAATTTTTTTCCAAAGCTTACTTTTGAATATTTTCCTTCCAATTATGTCGAAACATGCTTTTAAAATACAGACAACGAATCTTAAGGATAGTCTTGTGAACATAAATAGGTCGTTCTTCGACTCGTATCGTAAGATCACTCGTCAACTGAAGAACATATTATTAAATAATAATATTAGAATAATATAAAAATTATCATAAAAAGGTAGGTAACTTTTTACTTTTAATATTATAATTCAATATAGAACTGGATTGAGACCAGAAGTTTCACAACAATCATTAACAAAATTATAATATATTTTTTCTAGTAGAAAAAATTCTCTAAATTCTTTTTCCAAAATCTATACATCTCTTATAAACCTTTATTCTTTCTAACAATCAAATCAAAATGAAAATATGTATCACATATAGTTTTATGCTATAAAATAAAAAAAATGCATAAAGAATAACAATGAAACATGAACATACCGGATCATCAAACATTGCTCTTAGAGACTCCAATGTATTCACTCTTTTTTCAACAATCTTGAAAATATGATTCATAAGTACGATCGATAAATTGTTGTTGGTTATCGAGAAAGAGTGCGCGTATGCATCAATAATGTTCGAAAACTTCGTGGGAAACGGGATATTAGTTTGAAAATTGTAACGAAATTGACCCCACACATAGATAATATTATTACAGCCAACGGCCATGCTGAAGTTAGTACAAGCAGAGATATTCAAAACCTTTCCCATTTCGGGGATGTTCACCTGTCGATCGTATCCTTCCTTATTATTCTGTTCCTTGTTTCACTTATGATGGTAATTATTAAAAAGTTTTTATTAATAATTCATGACTTACCACGGTCGGACCGGAGGGTTTCCCGTTGCTATTTACACCTACTTGTCCACAAGTGTTATTGCCCCAGGCATAGACTTCTCCTTTACATGTGAGCGCTAACGTATGACTGTCCCCGCAGGCCACCTCAACTAAAATGTTAATCTCTCATAGAAATGTTCGATACTAACATTTTTAGAAATAAAATCTCAGACATAAATATTTAAAAAATTTACCTATTTTATCCGAGATTGTGATAATTTCGTGTGGGTATTTGTAATATTTTTGGGGCCGGACTATTGAAATCTGACCGTCTCTGTTATCACCCCAACCGTATATTGTATTTTCGTCACTTACAGCTATGTTGAAATATGAACCGCACGCGATAAGGAAAATATTTTTGTCCCAATCATATTCTCCCAAAACATTTTCTTTCCAATCATTTTGTTCTGAAACATTTTCTTCCCAATCATTTTGTTCTGAAACATTTTCTTCCCAATCATTTTGTTCTGAAACATTTTCTTCCCAATCACGTTCTTCCAAAACATTTTCTTCCCACTCTTCCCACTCTTTATCTTTCCAAACACGCACCTAAATAACAAACAATTGTTTAGATTTATGAGAACGATTATTATCGTTATCATTATGATGATTTAATCTTTTACTTATACCTCTCCATCGTTAGTCAGAGCGAGACCATTTAACTTTCCGCATACGATGGTCACGATTCCTTGCCTGCTTAAGTTGATGACTCGAATAAAGGTGGATATATAAGGAGCCTCTTCCCAGTAGTGATTTTTAGCGATGTCACTGAAATAAACCTTTCAAAAATAGCATAGCTGTTATTCGTTTTTTGATCTGATTTCCTGAATCACCTTTAGAATATTTAAGTATGAAAGCACTTGAAAAGACTTTACAAAAAATTCAAGATAGTTTGATATTATTTCATTCTCAGTATTTTGCAACATGATAAATTTATATAAATTCATTGGCCATGTTGATACATGTACAAGAATTAAAAGTTTTCTCGCATTTTTAAAATATTACGAAACTAAATGTGTGTGTATGTGTGTATGTATTGGTTTAATTTGTACAACCATATTGAATGTAAAGAATTAAAAATTAGGTACTGCAATATCTGCTTTTATATGTCCATTAGAGATATTTTCAAAATTATTTTCGTAATTTTTAACTTATTAAGAAAATAAAAATTACATCATTACAATCTTTCACATATTAATTTTAAAAATATTTGCATGTTGAAATAAATATTATAGCCAAGTAACTGTTTTTCTAATCAAAACAATTTATAATATTTATTTAATATTCTTAATTATAATTTATCTACTTATATTTTATTATGATTTTACACACACGTGTATATATAATAATTTTCATTTTCACTTGTTCCTGAAGAAATGTTTATGTTTTAGGAATGATATAAAACCTTCTAATAACATTATTATTCATTCAAGGAATATATAAAGCTCTGATATACCTCTCCCTCTTCTGTAAGTGCCAAGATAAAGCTACTGCAGCGTTGAAAGATCTTTATGTTTTTTCCACACAATTCTTTTATTTCTCTTAAATAGAGAGCAGTGTTTAGGTAACCAATCATTGAAAAATCATTTGCATCATAATTAAAGTTGTAAACATGCTTGTCCTGCGTCACAATAAATATTGTAACTGTACGATACCAGACACCTTCAAAATATTATAATATATAATTATATAAAAATATATAAGTAACAATATTACATAGCCAAAAAGACAATACAATGGAAAATGATAAATTTTACCATCTAAAATGTGAATTTGTGAGATAAATTCCGACTCTAACAGATGAAAAAACGGCCAGTGTTTAAAAAACGTTGAAATTATCTTTTCCGCTAAAATGCATTGCAAGATTCCCTTCTCATATTTTGGCATTTCACTACAAATAATTTAATAACTTTAAGTTTAGTAACTTATTCACTTCGATTTGAATTAATTGTACTTCATGTCATCGCACGGTTCTTGTTTTCACCTATTATCTTACCATATGCGATTATTTCAACATTTCTATCCTCAGCAGCAACTCGTATAGAAAGGAAGAGAAAAACAAGACTGCCGTACTTACTTTTTTTTAGTTGTTGTTTTCAAACTTCTCTTCTCTACATTTTTATTCGGAGAATAGAATGTCGACGACGTGATAGTAACGTCATTTTGTATCAATTCTTTGTGTACAATCTTAGCCTTGGTACTCATATATAATTCAAGATAATCTTCCGATAATGTGTTAGCTGCCCTGTGACGCAAAGTAAATTGAAAACAAAACTCCTTGAGTTCCTAAAATTCACATGATAT